GCTCTTGCACAAGTGAATCTCGCTTCCCTGCCTCCTTGACGAGACGCCCTTGTTCTTCAGCAGCACGTCTCATGTCACCCTCGAGCTTCTCTACTCGAGATTTGGCCGCATCGGCTTCGTTACGAAGCACTGATAGCTCGGAATACAACTTCGTGATAACAGACTGCTTGGTTTGCAAATCTTCTTCGTGAGTGTTGAGCAGCTCTTGCTTCTCCGTCTCCGCCTGAGAAATTTGACAACCAAGTTCTCGGACCTGTTCAGAAAGCAAGTCATGTGCGGCGCGAACAGTCTCCAGTTCCGTCGCTTGCATCTCCTGCAGCTGGGCAAGCGCTTGCGAATGTTCCTCCCTGAGCTTCTCCAGAGCTGCCTCATGCTCCCGGCGGCTGTGCTCCAAGGCATCCTGTCCCACTTGCTGGGCATCAATTGTGTCTTGACGAGCTTGCTGCAGATCGACTTGATGGTCCGCACTCATGGAAAGGACGACACGGCCATGTTCCTCAACTTGCTTCTGAAGAGCTTCGGAATGTTCCTCCCGTAGCTCTGCCAGATGGTCATCATGCTCCTGCTGCTTGCGGACGAGGATCTCGCCATACTTCTGATTCAGGACTTGTTCGACCTCCCGAACCTTCTTGTCAGCGGCACGTGCAACGGCTTCCTCACGCGAGTGCTGTAGGTCAGCAAGCGTAGAGGCATGCTGCTCCTTCAGTCGAGCAATGTTACCTTCAACTTCTTCGCTGAGCTTGCGCATAGAACTCTCATGTTCCTCTCTGCTCCGGGCCAGAGATGTTTTGAGTCGGTCAACCTCAGCGTCCTTCTCTTCCTCGAGACGGGCAGCAATCGTCGCGTGCTCGGCCTTCAAGCGAGCAATGATAGATGCATGCCCTTCCTCCCTAGTGGCCATAGCACGTGTGTGTTCGGCTTTCAGCTTTTCAGAGTCCTCCTTCCAGGCTGCTTCACGACGCTCGAACGCAGCTACGTGTTCTTGGCGAAGTTGCTGAATGGCTTCGATATGCGCATCTTGCGATTCTGTCAGGGTGCCTTCACGTAACAAGTCGGCCTCTCTGAGCTCTGCAGCCTGGTCCTCCTTTAACCGGAACATCTGTGCGATGGCTTCTTCGTCCTTTCGGCGGAGGTTCTCCTCATGCTCGGCCCGTATTTTGTTGAGAGATTGACCGTGCTCCTCTTCAGCCGCTTGACGCGCGGCGCTAAGATTGGCCTCGCGCCGACGGAGGTCAGCGATGGTGGCGTTCAGGTCATCATGCTGGTCGTCGGCACTGCGGAGCTTGCCTCGGACGCTTTCCAGCTCGGTGGACAACGCCAAATTCTGCTGGCGGGCTTCCTCGGTCATGGCCTCGTATTTCTCCTCTGTAGTGCGTAGCCTTTCACGAATGGATTCCATTTCGGCAGCCATATTGAGAGCCTGGTCGCGCGAGACAGTCTGCAGATCCTCGCACTGCTTGGTCATCCGGGCTAGTTTAGTAGAGATGGACTCGACTTCAACATTCAGGGCCTCCACCTCTTCACGATGGCTAGATTCTTTCTGTGCCATGGACCGGAGCAATTCTTCATGACGGAAGGCGCCTGCTTCTGATTCCGCAGGTGATGAGCCGACAGATGATTGCTGACGCTGGTGCATCCGCGTAGACACATGTTGTTCAGGTGCAGGGGTAGGCGGGACCGCAATTTGGAGCTCTTTGACTTCGTCCCTGGTCTCATCTTCCAGCACTGCAGCAAGGCCAGATGAAGTTGGCGTAAGATGAGGCGCCGAATTCTTCAATGCAATCTCCAAGGAAGAGATTTCCGCCTCTCTTGCCATAAGTGCCTGTCAAAAATTAGAATACAAATAAAAACGTAATCGTAGTGACCAACTTCTTGAAGACGCATGACTTCGCTTTCGAGCGCACGAACAGAGCGTTCCTCAGTTGCACTTGCCGGCAAACTTCCCATAGAAAAGCGGGGGCTGGGGGGACCAGCCAACATCCTCGCACTGCCGTTTACTGGCAAGCTCATGCGAGGGCTCGGTGGGGAGAGGGCTGACCCAGAATACCTAGGAGATGGTGGAGAGCGGAGGTCTCTAGAAGTCGATATGCTCAGGCTGCGCGGCCCGTGCCCGTTGGGTGACACTGGCGAGAAGAGTCCTCCACTCGGAAGGGACCCATTGTGCGAATGTTGCCCAACCACGGACACATTGGTGTTGATAGGGGGTGTCAGTGGCCAAGCAGACCGTGAGGATAGCTCCTGCGCAAGCAACTGCTGTGATTGCGATTGCGACCTTGCCCGGAGCTGATCTGACGAGGCCGCTGACCGGAAAAAAGACCGGGGGCCCGCACTGTCCTTCCTTGGAGTTTCGCGTCCTTGCCGCCGTCCGACCAAGAGACTGTTTCGCTCGCCTTCAGAACCTTCGCTTGGTTCGGGAGTCGGTAGCCCGGCGGAGATGTCAGGTGCAGACAACTTCTTGGCATGGAGAGGTGACTGTGACTGGTGGATAGAAAGTTGGGAGGTGAGGGAAGAGATCTCGGACAACGCCGATTCGTACTTGGCACGCATCGACGAAAGTTCTGAGAGTGCCTCCGTATGCTCCATCCTGAGCGCAGCAAGCTGGACCTCAGTGACCGCCTGAAGGGGAGAACTCGGGAAAGTCTCAGCAGCATCGACCTCCTTATCGACCTTGTCCTCCAGTTCCTCTGTCCGCTGCGCCTTCTCCTTCTCCAGTTCATCCTTTTCCCTTTCCGTTTCGGCGACGTGTATTTCGAGTACCTTCACCCGCTCCTCGCGATCCTCCAGCTCTTCCATAAGCCGCTTCATCTCGCTGTCCCTCTCGCCCTCGCCAGCGCCGAGAACCTCGACACGTCGCTCCATCTTGGCCACTTCCTCGTCCCGCTGCTTGAGGGACTCTTCGAGCGCCTCCACAGCATCGCGTAGCTCATTGATGCTCTCATCCGAGCGCTGGAGTCGGACTTCCAGATCGGTGATGTACGCCGCGGTTGCGGCTTCTTCCTCCCGATGCCTCGAGATCTGCGTACGCAAGTCCGTGACAAGGGTCGAATGACCCGAGCTGCTATCTTCCAGCATGCGCAATTTCTGCTCCAGATCCTGAACATAGCGCTGCACAAGAAGTAAGCATGACTCCCTGGACCCACGCTAGGTACCCACCTCGGTAGAACCCTCCCGCTCGGAAAGCTTCATAACCCTGGCCCTCAGCTCCTCAACAAGTTGTTCCGTCCTCGTGCGTCTCCTGGTCTCCTCCTCGAGCTCAGCCTCTTTCTCGTCAAACATCGCGTTCGTATGATCCTAAAGGGTTGCACGTCAGCACGCAGTTGGCATCGATCACAACACCCCGACGCGGCAGGGATACAGTAGGGTTGGGGATGGCGAAACGTGATTGTGGCCTTGAGCCGGAAAAACTTCAGACTCTAAGCCCTGTCCATCGAACCCACTGTGGCACGATGACCTCATAGAGCAAGAAACAAGGCTCACCAAAGCGACACGAGCAAGTTTGAGCTCCACTTCAAGCGCGCTCATCCTGCGCTCGTATTCCTCCACAACAGGGGCGACGATCTCGGCGTATTTCCGTTTCTCACGTTCCTCGAGGCCCCCATGCTCGCTGGGCGCAGCGAGGGCCTCTTTGAGCCGGTCGATCTCTCCCTGCTGATCTTTGTACATCTGGGCGAGCTCTTCATGTGCCCGTTGGAGGTTGGCAAGCTGCGCTGCTGACTCTCCTCCTGCACCGCCCGCAGGGGCCGCGACAGCTCCGCCAGCCTTGAGCGCTTCGACCTCCTTGCGCAGTTTGGTAACCTGCCCTTGGAGCCAGTCCATATCCCCCCAGCCTTCTTCGCGCACTTCCTTCGAGACGACATTCTTGATCCCCCTAGCGCGGGCGGCGTACTTGAGCGTGTTGAGCGTTTCTGCAAGGTTGTATTCCGCAGGGGCGACGCAAGCCAGCATGAGGGTGTGTGCGTTCCCTCCGAGGGAATCTTGCAACAGACGTGTGAGCTTCGAGTCGCGATAAGGGACGTGCGTTGCCCCGTGAGAGTTGGAGGTCACGGGCAGGGTAGCCAGCGCGGAGATCACGTTCCCCAGAGCGAGCAGACCAGAATTGATCGAGATACCCTCCTTCATCCGTTCGCCTTGCGCCGCAGTGCGTTTCATCTGCTCCTCCTTCAGCAACGTCAAAGAAGGAAGAGCCCGAGCATACTCACCCGCTCACTTCCGGCCAAATCCACGAAATGGAATTTGCTCGTCATGACCACCCATCCTTGATCGTCGTCGTCGTCCTTGCTAGGGGGCATCGGGCTGCTCCGACCGGGGGTCATGATGCCGCTCGTCCTGGGCTTGAGCGAGCTGTTACCCGCGACGCTGCTAGGCCTGCCAAAGGCGGGGCTCGTAGCGCGAAGAGCGGTGCTGCTTGGCCTAGCCAGCCGACTGGGTGCAGGGCTCGTGCGTCCCGTAGGGGAACGTACGGTCCCGAATGAGCTCGGTGGTGGGGGTGACATTGCGCGTGAGGGGTTGGGAGAAGGGGGCGCGTTCAGCGGTCGACGCTGGGTCAGGGTGAGCGAGAAGATCGCGTGAGAACGCGAGGATTGAGCGTTCATATCCGTCTCGTTTGTACGGCGGAGAGCAGAGCCGTTTCGCAGGAGACTACGCGTCGCACATCAGCATAAACGGATTCGTAGCAGGGGCAGACAACGTACTTGAGCACATCCCCGACACTCCTCACGCTAACCTCCTTCAACCCTTCCCACTTTATCCTTCCATCCTTATCCTCCCTGATCATAACCTCCCTCCTACCCTCTCCCTCCTCCACAAGCAAATCAATCAAATCCTCATTATACAGTTCCACGTACGCGACGCGCGCCTCGAAGCTTGCGCCGCCCCTTCCGTCCGGTAAGCGTGAAAATATCGAGTGCAGCGCGCGGGGGATGATGCCCGAGCTTGCTGGAGGTTGGCTGCCAATACTTGGCGGAGGCAGGTCAGCACCAGTCATGCTGTACGTCTTGCCCGAGCTCGTTTGGCCGTACGCGAGGATGGTGCAGTTGAACCCCTCTAGGAAACGTTGGACGAGCGGATCGGCGGCGATAGAGTACACATCGGCCTGACTTGTGTTCGGGCCAAGCACGCGGTCAAACGTGAATGACTGCTTTTGGTTTGCTTGAGGTGGAGCGAGCGCGCCCCCAGGAGCGGAGACGCTGGAGACTGTTGATGTGGACGGGTTGTGCTGGTGCGAGGCGGTCGTGGAGGGGTCGACATGGACCGTAGTTGCAGAGGAGTCGAATACAGCCACGCGCTGAAAACGCGATGGGATGGAAGCGTCCTGGGTTGTAGGAGGCCGAATTCGGACGGCTGTATGATGCATAAAGTAGTCGAGTCAGTTGTCGTTCCCTGAAGGGAGTAAAGTAACGCACCGACTTGCACACTCGTTGCGGTCGACTTGTCTTTCTTGTCTGCCATCGTTTGCTGCGTCGAGAAGGTGTGTGATTATCCTTTGTTTACGTTTGATGGTGTGCAGATGTCGCGTCTTAGGGGTAGATGTATGCGTGGAATCGTCGTTGAAGGTATCGGTCCTGGGTATAGATGCTGACCACTGGCAGGTGTCGTCGTCGTCTATGAAGACAATGGACGGTGAAGGACGACGAGGGCGCAGATGGCGGTAGGAGAAAGAAAGAGGAAGGAGGTGGGGAGAGAGAGAAGAAGAGGGTCTGAATGGGCGACGCGGTGAAATCCGTAATCCGTGGAAAGCCGTCGTCGTTAGAAACTTAAGTCTTTCTTTGCTTCCCTAACATACTCTGGTTAATATAAATTAGACACTAAAGAACGATGCTTTTCCCACCTTTATTGTTCTGTTCTGCGTACAACAACTGCACTTGTGTCGCTGCTGATGCAATGCAGACTCGCGTGGGAAGGATACCCCCGGTCGTCAAGCAGAAAAAGAAGGGCGGTTACCTACGAACTCTTCGGTTACCAGGAGAGAATACAAAGAATATGAATAGAGAGCTAAGGGGTTCATCAAGGTCAAGAGAGAGGTAATCAAACTCTTTTCTGATATGACATCGCATATACTTATTCAGCGTATGAATTATCGAACAACATCTGCAGGCAATGGGTGATGTACACTGCACAGGAATGTGATTTGACAGCACGAAAACAAATTGGAATGTTTGCGTCGTGACCATTTACGTGCGGTTTAACCTCTTATCCGTACTCGCATGTATATATCATCTCCCTCTCAACTACCAGCACTTAACCTCGGTGTCTCCCTTCGTCTCTCCCCTCGTCCTCAGGCAACGACCCAACCCCAACCATCTCTGTTCCGCCTTCTGATACTCCCACCCATGGCCCCTAGTTGGAGGAGAGTCGCCATGGGTGTCTCCCGCAGATTTTCAGTAAACATTAATGAATTGAGAAAGAATCAATGAGACATGTTTTTAATCCACAATGCCCCAACTACTGTCCACATACTGTCAATTACCACTCTACTCCATGCTTCCTTCCTAGCTAATTACTACAAATATGATGAAAAACAGCATACCCTGGCTGTCTGCAAATACAAGCCCATCAACTGATGTGTTCAACCACACACTCAGAAAGTCTCAAGATCTGTTGACACTTCCCTTTGGACCCACTTGAAAATTTACTGCCCATTCCATTATTTCCCCCACCCTTTCAACCAGGCATACACTTAACACAGGAAGGCTTGGATACCATGAATCTCAATATAATGAAGTTTCTGTGGCTGGATGAAGTTGACCTAGTTAAATGGGTCTTATATGCTTATGAGATGGTGTTTTCATGGGATAAAGTCAAAATTGGGCATTTCCACAGTGACTATTTGTTAGGGCAACACAGGCTGACTAAGTCTGCTCACCTAAGAGTGCCAAGAGTCTAA